TTTTATTAACTGGGTGTTCGGTGACTTTGTTAGAGTACTGAACAAACAAATTAATAAAGAGCATATAGAGTTGCCTCTACGGTTTTGATGTATTTATATATATTTTTAAATGCTTTGAACGAGTGATCCTTAATTATGTAATCTACATCATTCCGCATTCTTTAATATCAATAGGCATTTATTTACTTTAATAAAAATCCTTATTTTTATTAAAAATTTAAATACTTATTGAAAATTGATTATTAATTAATTGTAAATTACTTGTTTATTTGTTATGGGTTACATTCAGAAATTAATATATATTGCTGTTGAATTAACAAACATAAACAATTATTGACAATACAAAAAATTATATAAATATTAATTAAATGAAAATTCTATTTTTATATGCATAAAATTTTCTTTTACAAAATTCATCAAAATCATATTTCATTCCAAAAAAAAAAATTCTTTTCTTTTTTTTTTTTTTTTTTTTTTATTTATTTATTGGTAACAAATCTTTTTTCAATTGATTTTTTTTTTTTTTATCAATTTTTTTTTTCCTGATGGTCTTCGCATTTTTTTTTTATCAAATTTTTTTCCTGACGGTCTTAGTACTTTTTTTTTTAAAAAAAGCACAGACAAAAAAAAATTGATCATAATTTTTTTTTTTGTGTGCACATGAGCAACTTCTTATTCTTCATTTAAGTAGTCCTTTTATTTTCCAAAAAGGTTAATAAAGCCTTTTATTAGAGAATGAACTTGCTAGTATTTAACAAATGAATTAGTAAAGAATGTGTAGAAAGAACTATACTTATTTTATTTTTTTTAAATTAAAATATTAATCACATTGTTTAATTTTGTTAATATCAAATATTAACTACATTAGTAAATCACTATTTTTGTTAGTTTACATAGTATTTCATTTGTATCACATTAAAAATTACATTTTTATTATTTCATAAAAAAAGATACTTCATATTGATCGTCCTCAAAAAGAAAAAATATATATTTTTTTAATGTCTTATTTTAAGTGGATGTATTTTTTTTTAGTACACATACCTTTTGTATACTTCTTTTATTAGGACACGTGTTTATATATACGTAATTTCTCTGTATATTAGTATATATGAATAATAATGTTTTTGCGAGATTAATTTATTTAAATATTATTTAAAACAGATAGATAATACTATTTATGAATCAGTGGTTAATAAAAGGCTTCATTAATCTTTTTGGTAATAAAAAGGACTAGCTACATAAAGAATACATAGTTGGTTGTGCGCACGCGAAAAAAAAAAAAAAGAAAAAATATTATTGAATTTTTTTTGATATTTTTCTTTTGAAAAATGGAGATACGTAAAAAAAAAATATATTTATTTTTTTTAAATGATTTAATTGGTGAGAGAAAATTGGTAAAATAAAAATCGAGAGTAATATTTAGTACCAATAAAAATGAGATCATAAACAGGTAATAATGTTTACATAAAAGGGTTTAATTTGCATAATATATATATTTTTAATTTGTGAGAGAAAATTTTAAATATATGACAATAAAATTTTCACGTAATTGATATTCATATAATTATTTTGCATTTTCACTAATTGTTTATGTTCGTTAATTCAACAGCAATATATTTAAATTGCTGAACATAACTAGTAACAAAGAAATAAATAAATTACATTAAAATAATAATCAATATTCAATAAGGATTTAAATTTTTAATAAAAATAAGGATTTATATTAAAATAATTAAATGCCTATTGAAATCAAAGAATGCTGAACGAAGTAGATCACACAATTAAGAATCAATCGTTCAAAGCATATAAAGTATATATAAATACACCAAAATCGTAGAGGCAACTCTATATTCTCTCTATTAATTTGTTTGTTCAGTACTCTAGTAAAGTCGCCGAACACCTAGTTAATAAATCAATGAAAGAATATATAAATACACCAAAATCGTATAGGCAACTTTACATGCTCTTTATTAATTTGTTTGTTCAGTACTCTAGCAAAGTCACCGAACAATCAGTTAATAAAACAATGAGTAACTAGATGGAATAAAAAGAAATCATAACTTATGCATTAGTTGGAACCCAGAAATTGTGTGGATATTTATAAGTGAAGAATTATAAAGTAATATGATTTGAAAGATAATAGAAATAGAAGAATAGATAAAGATATATAAAAAGGTCTTATAGTTGTAGAACAGGACAATGAAAATAAAATAATATTATCTTTATCCAGAAGTGATCGATTATATTCTATAAATTTTATTATTGGACAATTTTTGAATATTATAAAAATGAATAAAATAAATATATTATTATGTGTACATACTGTAAATGCGGAACAAATGTGCATACTTAAATCTTCTCAATAAAATTAATTGCTTAAAAGAAAAATTTTTTTTTTTTACATATATATAATTTTTTTCGGAGGAAATTTTAAAAAAAAAAATTACAATTTTTTTGAATGTATCTTGTGTAATATTTTAGTTAAAAAGTTAGAAATGTATCATTTAATATTATATTTTATAAACTATTGAATAAATTAACTTAAATAAAAAATAGAATAATAAATTTAAATTTTAAATTAATTATAATAAATAAATTGAGTAATATTTTATTTTATATTCAATAAAATAGATAGTGCTTTCTCAATGTGCCTCTTATTAATTGGTTTGTTCAATAATACCAAGTCAATTATCATAAAATTAATAAAACAAATAATGATAAAAAATCTTTATTAAAAAAGAAAAAAAATTGTTGAAATAAAAGGAAAAATAAGAATTAATATAAATGGTCGTATAAAAATTGTAAAATATAACATAAAAACAAAGTTAAAAAAACATATATTGAACAAAATCTAATAAAATTAAGTGTAGAACATTCATAAGCATATCACTTTAAAATTATTTATGACAGAGTAACAATGTATACATAGAAATGAAATATCTTTGTTTTGTATTTTTCTTCTTTTTACTTATTATATTAAACAATATCTAATTATTATTAAAAAAGTGAGATGTCTTAAAAAATATATGAATATATCACACGTTAAATAAATTTAAATATTTTATGCTTTTAAACTATAATTATATGAATATATTTTAAATATATAAAAATAAACATTTTATTTTTTTTTTATATTAAAGGGTTATTACGTATTATTTATAAATATAATTCCCATGTGTAAAATATAAAAAAATAAATGAATTGCAATTTTTTTTGAAATTCATTTTACCATATATTTTAATAAAAATCACAGTTAGAATAAGAAAAAAAGGAATCATAATTTTTTTAATTTTTATTTTTGAGGTTAATTATACGCGTACTTTTACTAAGTTAATCTAATATATGTTATAATTCACATTATTATTTTTTCAGAAAAATATAAAAACTCTCATTATTTTATGCTTTCATAAATTATTGAACCAGTTTTTATTTTTTTTAAAAATTATTATTGTTTTAATTGATTTTACATTAATTATAAAATTTATCTGAGTATATATTAAATGAATATTTAAAAAAGTATAAATCTTAATTTAAAAACTTAAATGTTCTAAATAGCTAATAAATATATAACTAACCTTTTTAAAATTTTAATATGGTAAAAGTGTACTATGTACAGAAGTTGCTGCTGCATGCAAACACATTCAAAAGGTGCATATATAATATGATTATAAAGGTACATGCAAAAAGATATTCATAATAAAATAGTTATAATAGAATGTCGGTATATTTGTTTATGTTTAAAAAAAAATTATTTTTTTTAAAAGTAAAACAATGAAAAATAATATAACTTCTATTTTAATATAACATTAGTTTATTAACAATTTATGTTTTAAAAATAGCCAATAATAGTTTTCATATGAGTAATAAAAACTGTGATTAAAGATATAGAATTTTTTTATTTTATTTTATATAGTATAATTATATAAAAGGTATATAATTATCTATAAGTTATTCTGCAGTAAATAAAACAAAAGAAATTTTTCATTTAAGCTTTTTACTATTTTTACTTTTTAGAGCACTAAAAAGAATGTTAAATTACAAATTGATAAATCATAATCTAAAAAAAGGTGTAAAAGTTATAATGCAAAATAGGGATAAAAGAGAGAAAAAAAATGAAAAAACTAGAGAAAAAGCAGTTTTTGAAATAATTGAAATAAAACTAAATAATAACTCATATATATAATCCTTAAACAATTATAAAAAATTCATCCATAATTAAACTAGTTTTATTATGTATTTTTTTAGCTTAAAACAATTAAGTTTAAAATTTTTTATTTCTTATATATTTTATGAATATTCGGCTGAAAATAATTTAAATTTTACTAAAAAATTAATTAGAAAAAAAATTTTCTTTTAGTAATAATTAATGGCAATTATTTAAAAATTATTTAAAAGAAAAAATTGAAATATTAATTGTTCTACACTATAAATTAAAAATATGTTATTCTACAATATAAAATAATAAAAAAATATATTACTTTTATAAATGGAAAATTCTTGTATTTTTTTTTTCTCTTAATTTTTTAATTTCAATTGTAATATCACTTTATAATTTTAATATCATTGAATTTTTTTACTTAATTAGATATATTATTTTTATCCAAAAATAACTATATTATTACAAAATACATTAGGTGAAAATTGAAAATTTGTTTTCTTTATAAAATGTTTATTTTTATTTTGAAAATCTGGAAACTTTACATGCAACCTACTAACGTGATAAACGATATGAATTGCTATAAAAACTGAAATTGAATTAAAAATTTAATTAATTTAATTTATATGCAATAATGTATGGAATTTAATGTTATAGTGGAAATAAAGAATTGCTCATTTTTTATTAATATGATCTTTATGTTGTCTTAATTTTAATATGTATGTAATCATAATATGAAATATTCATTTGAAGACATATATAAATATATATCTGATGGTTTTTTTTAATTATTTATTAAAAAAAACTAATAGAACATGCAAAAATAAATATAATTTAATATATAATGAATACAGAAGAAGAACCACTTAAAAGAAAACCTAGACACGTATCCGGGCCATTGGCATCTCCTATATTGCAACGGGGACTACTAAAAAATTGGAGGAGAACATTCTATAATAATGTTGACTTGAGAATTCGCAAAATTAAAGAAGAAAAATCTCCAAAAATGCAAAGGAGACTCTGTAGATATTTAAATTATTGGGTAGATGATAGAAGGGATGTATTCATGAATTTAAGAAAACAATTAATTTTATTGGGAGATATTAATAATCTTTGGGCAGAAAATCAGAATTGTGTAATGGAAAAATTAAGATTATCAATCAATGATATATGTCAAAGAAAAGAGAATAAAAATAATAAAGATATAAGAAATAAACGGAAAGATATCGAAGATTTCTGTGAGGATAAAGAGGAACGTTTACAAGATTTAAGTAAATATGTGACAGAAGAAAAATGTACCGATTACAATAAATGGTTAAATGAGAAAAAAAATTATTTTGTAAAAAAAAAATGGATTAATGAACAAAAAATAACGTATGATGAAAATTTGGAAATTTCTAAAAACTGTACACTTAATGATATGAATACGTTTGTTTCTAGTTTAGAATGTTCAGAAATCAGTAAGAAAGAAAATGATTCTTGTGATTCTAAAACTTCAAAAAGCTGTAATCAATCTGAGCATTTAACTCCTATTATTTCTTCTGATAATAAATCTGATTACTCTTTAATCAAAACAACTATTGCAGTGAAACCAAAAGCTACTAATAATTTATCTACCCCGACAATAAGCCCCAAAACTAAAACTATAACTAAAATTACACCAAATACACCAATTAAATCTACTACTCCAACAGAAGGATCTACACAAAAGTTAACATCAACTATTGTGTCTATACATTCAGATCCAAATTTACCTAAACCTGAAGCTCTAAAAGCAAGTAATTCTGGATTTTCACAAAGAGGCATGTCTCCTATTCCAACAACAAGATCTACACCAAAGTTAGCATCAACTACTATGTCTACACATTTAGATACAAGTTTAGCTACGTCTCCACCTCAAATAGAAAGTATATCTGGATATCCACAAACAGATGTGTCTCAAGCTACTCCAACACAAGGATCTACACCAAAGTTAACATCAACTAATGTGTCTATACATTTAGATACAAGTTTACCTAAACCTGCAGCTCTAAAAGCAAGTATATCTGAATCTTCAGAAACAGATGTGTCTCAAGCTACTCCAACACAAGGATCTACACCAAAGTTAACATTAAATAATGTGTCTATACATTTAGATACAAGTTTACCTAAACCTGCAGCTCTAAAAGCAAGCATATCTGAATCTTCAGAAACAGATGTGTCTCCAGCTACTCCAACACCTGGATTTAACATTACTTTACCATCTATTGACATTCCTACAAATAATCACACAACTATTGAAGAACCTAGAACTAATTCCACATCATCTTCTAACACTACTTTAAATTTACTGTCAAATTCATCTACATCGGTAAATGTAAATTCAACTCAACCAGAAACTATGTTTATAACTACTGTATCATCTGAAAATTCATCCATACCTACACATACTATCGCACATCCAAATATATCGGCAAATTTATCTATAACTGAAAACACAAATGCAAATACATCTTCAAATTTATCTACATTAACGTTCACAAATTCAAGTATATCTGCAGTCAAATCAACTACATCTAAAACTATTCTAACACCTGAAACTAAACCACAAACAAAAAATATGCCTCCTCATGCAGCTAAATTGACATATGCAACTGAATCTGTATTATCTGCATCTATAAATACAACTAAGACTACTTCAAATACTATGAAGTACAATTCCACTTTTAATATTGACAAATGTACATTGGAATCATGTATGAATAATTCTCTTACATCTACAAATACTTATTTAAATGAAAATCATACTAATAATGATACATTAAATATTACATCTAATGGAATTCCAGCTACTCCTCCATTAATAGTACAAAATGGTACTACAAATGTACCTTCTAATAATTGTAACAATTCCATATGTAAATCAGCTTTCCCTTCGTTAATTGTCTTTCCAGTGTGTGCATCACTTTTATTAATTATTTTCCTTTTCGTTATTCTTTATAAGGTAAGATAAAATTATTATTTATATATATCTCTGCATTTCTTTTAATTATTTTTTTTATTTATTACCATATTATTATTAAAAATTTATATATTATATACGTAAAATTTTCTATTTATGTAATAGTATAATCCTATTAGACTTCTACCTAGTGGTAAAGGATCAAAGAAAAAGAAAAAGCAAATAAAAAGGAAAAATGAAGAAGGTTTAACGAATTTAATGACAATGCCTTTAAATATTCCATATGAATTACTAGAAAGTAATATTCAACCCAATAATGCATGTAAAAGAACAAATAATTCATTGTGCAAAATTGTATTTGAAGATGACTTAAACAATGCACTTACAGAGAAATCAGAAGAAAATCAAATAAATATAAAAACAAAAAGTGATAATACATTAACGAGAGAACAATTAAAGTGGAAGATTATATTAGAAACACATATGATGGCAATAGACGAATGTAAAAAGGAGGAATGGGAAAAGAGCAGGAGCATATTTTTTGAAATTTGTTTGGAAGAATTAAAAAAAGAAGGCATATATTTAGATGTAACAATTGAAATGGAGAAAAAAGATAATATTACTATTATGTTAGAAAAAAAAAAGTTTCTGTGGGAACAGTATACAAAAGGATATGGGATGATATTAGAAAAATGGAAAAAGGATAAGTGGTTTGAAAATTTGAAGAGGGAATGGAAGGCAGAGGAAGATAACTATACAGAAATAATAAAAGAGGAAAGGATAATAAAAAGTACAGAAAATGAATTAAATAATCCTTATCTGGAAAGACAAAAAATAATATGGATGAATTGGGTAAAAAAGCATAGAAAATGGTTGTATGATTCTAATGACCAAAAATGGTTTAATGAATTATTAGAAAAATATAAAATAGAAGAAGAAGAAAAAAATAATATAGAAGAGGTAGATAGTGAAGAAGGAAATATTATAATAGAAAGAGAAATAAAATCAGATAAAGATGCAAAGAAAAATAATTTAAAATTGAAATTATGGATTGAAATACATATGGTGGCATTAGAAGAATATAAAAAAGAGGAGAGGATGATAAATAAAAATGAGTTTCTTAAAACATATATAGAAGAATTGAAAAATACAATGAATCCAGAAGAAATATTGGAAATAGAAAAAGAAATAAGAGAAAATATTATGTTAGAAAATAAAGAAGAAGAATTAAATAAATTAAAAAGAGAAAATTGGTTTATTGAACTGAAACTAGATTGGAATAACCATGAAAAGAAATATATGGAAGAGTTATGTAAAAAGAATTTACCAGAAAATAGTGAAGAAAGAATTAAAAATTCTATGTTATATGAGCAAAAAATTATATGGAAAAAATATTGGGAAAAAACAAAAAAAAGATGGATAGAAAATGAAAACATGGAAAAATGGCTTATAAAAATGATAGAAGAAAATAAAAATAAAGATGAAAACGAAGTGAAAATAAAAGAAATAATAGATAAACGTGAAGAATATGAAGAAGAAATAAACATGAGTAAAAAAGGGGGAAAAGTAAAAGAAAAAAAAATGAAGGACGAAGAGGGACAAATAAAAAATAAGAAAAGATCTATCACATTGAAAAAAAAGCCAAAAAGGAAAACCATGATAGAAATACATATGATTATAATGGAAGATTGTAAACAAAAGGAGTGGGAATTAAAAAGAGAAAAATTTTTGGAAATTTGTTTGAATGAATGGAAAAGAAATGAAAGTTCATATAGAAATATAATAGGAACAAAAAGTATAATGTATACAGAAGAAAGCAGTATTATTGCATTAAATATACAAAAAATGTTTTCTAAGAATTTGATGGAAAGACATAAGAAGATGTTAGAAAAATGGAGAACAGAGGAATGGTTTAAAAGATTAATGGAGGAATGGAAAAAAGAAGAAAATATATATATAGAAACAATAGATAGAAAAAAATTCACTGAAGGAATAGATAACATAATGAATAATATTGCATTAGGGAAGAAAAGTGAAATATGGAATCAATGGATAAAGAAACAAAGAAGATTATTTACACAACATGACAAAGAGATATTGTTTAATAAGCTATTAGATGAGTATAATGAGGAAGAAGATAAATATGAAGAAAATGAAGAACAAACAAAAGAAAAAAAAATTAATATAGATAAAATGAAAGAAGATCTAAAAATAGTGAATATAAAAGATGAGGTTGGTGAAAATATGGACAAAATTAATTTGATATCTAAATTGTGGATAGAAATACATATGATGATATTGGATCAGCGTATAAAAGAAGAGATAGGATATATGAAAAAAGAATTTCTTAAACCATACATAAAAAGAAAAAAGGAATTTGAAGAGTTAAGTGAACATGGAATTACAAAAAAAGAAATAAATGATGAAGAAAAAGAAGGAATTATAAATGATATGATAGAGAAAAAGAAAGATCAATGGGAATGCTGGAAAAGAGAGGAATGGTTTCAAGAATTGAAGTTAAATTGGTATAAAACAGTACATATAAATGATATAGAAGAATCAAAAATATTAGGTGATACAAAAGGAGTAATTAATGACTTTATATTTGAAAGACAAGTGTTTGACAGGCAATGGATAGAAAAACAGAGAAAATTTTTAAAAAAATGGAATAAACGAAGATTAAAAAAATCTACGAAAAATAGATATAAAGATGATCAAATAGAAGAAGAAAATGAAGAAAATATTCTAGAAGATAGTTGGGAAGTTACTATATTATAAATCCTAGTACAATACATTCTCTACATGTGTTTTGTTAATAGATTAATATTCTTTTTATGATTATGGATTGATATATTATTAATCTCTTATATTTGCAATACCTTGATGTATGTAAGAATGAATAACAAGCTAATCACACATAATTTATAGATATAAAAAAAAAAATTAATTCTTTTTCTTTTTATATAGATTTTTTTATTAATTATATATTTTTAAAAAAAATTTTATTTATAAAAAAAAAAAAAAGGATAATAGAAAAAAAATTTAATTTACAAGAAAACATTTTTTTTTAAAAATAAATTTTTATAGAAATAAGTCGTTTGTATTTATCTTTAAAAAATTTTTTCTTTTAGATTAATTTTTAAACAAATAAAATTAATTTCGAAAACTTTAATTAAAAAATAAAAGGATTTTGTCCTTATTTTTATTTACATTAATATATGTATTAATAATTCACTAATTGCACATTCAATAACCTTTTGGTTTATTAATTGCCTATGAATGACTTTGAAAGAGTATTGAACAAACAGATTAAGGAAAATGTAGAGTCCTCTTCACTAATTTAATAAATTTAAATTTAGTTTTAATTCTATAGACCAATAAAATGTTTTTATATAGTCTACTTCATTTAGCATTCATTGTTTTTTTTTAAGAAGAATTTATTTACTTTAATAAAAATCTTATATTTTTGTTAAGAATATAAATCCTAATTAACTATTGATTTTAATTAAACAAATTTTATTTACAATTTTATTAATGTTTACCAATTGAAATTCATTGCTCTCAAATTAACTACATACATAATTAACAAAATATGAATTCAATTATATAAACACGATAAAATATAAAAATTTTATTAATGTAAATATAACATTTTTCCATATAAATTTAGACAAAATTTGACTTCCAAGAAATTTTTTATTAAAAATTTTTTCTTCTATTCTTAAACTATCAACCATTTTAAAAAAAAAAAATAATATTTTTTTATATATTTCAAATTGCAAAAAGAAAACAAAAAAGATTGACAACTTTTTTTTTTCTAACTAGAGCTTGTACGGATAATTATTTATTTTTCATGTAACTAATGCTTTTTATTCTCAAAAAGGATAATTATTCCTTTCTAGTTAATAAAAAAAATTATTAATCTTTTTGATAAAATATCTATCTATATGGGATATACATAATTATCCAAGAAAGCATTAGATAAAAAAAGAAAAAAATATAAGTATTTTTTTTTTTTTTTTTACAAAAGAGTATCTTCTGTTGGAGATTTGCACTTTGAATTTTAAAAGATAATATTTTTAGGAAAAAGAATAGTATAATTTTCATTTGCGTACTTTTTTTATAACTTTAATTTGCATTTTATTAATTTCGTACATGTGTTAACTTTAACACAATACACCTAAGTGTTAAACACTATTCGTAATGCTATAATTAAAAATATATATAAGTACAAATAAGTAATAAATGTAGATTTATCTCTTTAATAAGTATAATGCAATTCTTATTAAATTAAGTAAATACCTATTAAAAGTTAATAAATTCGAAACATAGTAGATTACATAAATACCTTTTACTTGTTTATAAAATTAGAAATTATTCATGAATTCATTAAATCCGTAAAGGCAACTCAACGTGCTCTTAATTAATTTGTTTGTTTAGTATTCTAGAAAAGTCATCAAATAAGCAATTAATAAAACACATACCTAATTATTAAATCTATTTGTATTAAATAATAAATTTTATATCATTTTATTGTAATTTCATTGGGGTTATTGCAAATTCAGAGTAATTTTTTTTATATATATTTTTCTTAGTTTTGAAAATTTCTATTTCTTATCATTATTTTTTTAATTTATTGACTGTTTTTGTTTTCGTTTTTCTTTTTTTTTTCTTTAATAAATAGTTCAATTTAAGTAAAATCATTTTATTCATTTTCATTTGTTTATAATATGAAATTTCTATTTCATTAATATATAATTATTATTTTAACTTGCATCTTCTCTATATTTATTTTTATATTTATTTTAATTTTTTCTTTTTCACATAAAGCTTTTAATATTAATGTTTGAGAATGTAATGATGTATTTACTCATATAAATTAAATTTATTTCTTTATTTTATTAAAATTTATATTTCAAGTTAAATCATTTCTTAATCAACTTAAACATATATAGCATGAATTTAATATAGTTTAAACAACAGTTGGAAATCGAATTTGTTTATAAATATGTAAATTCTATAACTGTATTTAATTTTTTTTCATAATTTTTTTATAAGATACCATTATTGTATGTATATAAATTCTACTATGTTCACATTTTTTTTTATTTTATTGCTAAAATTGAACGAATTTATGTAATTAATGCGTAGTTATTAGAACAAATCCAATTTGTTTTTTATTATGATTATTGTTAAATTAAATGTAACTTAATACTGATATATTTTATTAATTTTTATTAATAATAATAAATCTGCATATAATTTTAATTTATATATTTTTCTAATATTTATACGTAATACTGCGAGTACAATTTTATTTCATTTATATTTCTTCGTTTGTCTAAAAATAACCTATTATATTGTATTGTTATTTCATCACTATCTATATATAGCTACTAAAATAAATTATAAATTTTAATAATGTTTTATATACTATTTTTTTTTTTTACATAAATAATATTATATTATTTTGGTTTTAATGATAATTCTACAAGCAATAATATTATAGCACAAAATACGTTTTTATTTTCTTAATAACTCTTAAAAAAATATATTTTTTCTTTGATATATTTAAAATTCTTTTTCATTTATTTAAAGAAAAGCATTATTCTTTGTTGATATTTTTCTCGAACAAATGTTACTACTTTTTTAAAATCTATAGTGTAAAATTTTTTTTTGAATGTTTCTTTTTTTTATGATTCAAAAAAAAATTGTGAATAATAATACATGCCTAAAAAAGTATGTTTTATGAACGATATATTTTATAGAAATGTATTTTTTAAAGAGGTAGAACGAATATAGTTAAATTTTAATAATTAGATAAATGATTAAAAAGACTACTTTTAATTAGTCCATAAATATTATGTATTTTATTAGAAACTATATTTTTTATAAGAAATAAAAAAAATGAAGTTATGAATATAGGCAAATAAATCTTTTAAATATATTAAGAAAATATTTACAGCAATATAAAGGATCAGGAGAAGGAAAAATAAAAAAATCTTATATAAATTTTAATAATGACACTTTTATACAATGAAAGGCGTGAAAATTATAATGGAAACTTTACTAATTGAAATATGTATGTATGCATTATACATAGTAGTAAATTCTATATTGTTGGTTTATTAACTGGGTGTTCGGTGACTTTACTAGAGTGCTGAAAAAAAATTTAATAAAGAGAATTTATAGTTGCCTCTACGATTTTGATGTATTTATATATACTTTTATATGCTTTGAACAAGTGATTCTTAATTATGTAATATATTTCGTTCAGCATTTTTTGATTTCAATAGGCATTTATTTACTTTAATAAAAATCCTTTTTTTTATTAAAAATTTAAATCCTTATTGAATATTGATTATTATTTAATTGTAATTTATTTATTTCATTGTTAATAGATATGTTCAGCAATTTAAATATATTGCCGTTGAATTAACGAACATAAACAATTAGTGAAAATGCAAAATAATTATATGAATATTAATTACGTAAAACTTTTATTGTCATATATATAAAATTTTCTCTCACAAATTAAAAATATATATATTATGCAAATTAAATCCTTTTATGTAAACATTATTATCTGTTTAAGATCTCATTTTTATTGGTACTAAACTTTATTCTTGATTTTTATTTTATCAGCCTTTTTCTTCTCAATTCAATCATTTAAAAAAAAATAAATATATTTTTTTTTTTTTTTTTACGTCTATTTTTTTTTAAAGCAAAAAATATATAAAAAAAATTAAAAAAAATTTTTTTTTTTTTTTCGCGTGTACACAACCAACTACGTATTCTTCATATATCTAGTCCTTTTTATTACCAAAAAGATTAATGAAGCCTTTCATTAACCAATCGATAAGTAATATTAATGGTTTATTTGTTTTTATTAATGCAAATCTAGTTAATACCTTTATATTGGTAAATTTCATAAATATTTTCACCTTTTTAGATTTCATTGCAATATCTCGGCTATATATTCCACAAACCTTGATTGGCTGTATTGATGTGTCTGGCTCTATACCTAGTTCATTGGCTGAAATCGTTAATACAGTACATAAATCTGCTCCTGTATCTAGTAATACATTAACGTTATGTCCGTTAATTTCTACTATTTGTTCCGCATTCGTACATCGTTCTTTTTCGCTTCCAATTTCTATTGTCCTATTAACAGATAATTCACTTTCTGCTGAATCTGTTACACCTTCATCGTATTCCTTTTCGATGTCATTTTATTTCTCCTAAAATACCTTATTTATTCTATTTCTCTTTTTATCCTCCTCTTCATCACTTCCTTTGGGTTTATTCTCCTTATTCCTTTCCTTTGGTTTTTCTTTTTGTCTTTTCAGGTGTTCCAATTGTATATTAAGGTATCTTTGCATTTAAGGGATTTTCTGTGGATTAGTTTCATTTTTGATCATTTTAAGATTTAAATTATATCTTTTATCTGTTATTATACCTTTGATTTCATCCTCTTTATCTTGTATAATTTTATCTCTACATACTGACGCCAAATGTCCTATCATATTACAATTACTACATCTTTTTTTTCTATGTACACAATCCTTTTTAAGATATCCTTTTTCGCCGCGATAGTAACATTTATTAAACTTTCTGTTTTTCCTTTCTGAATATCCATCCTTATCTCTATTTATTGCCCTTATATCCAAGTTATTATGACTATTTTCTTCTTTGCACATGTCTTCTAATGCTAACATTGTTGATATTAAATTCATAAATTCTTTATTCTTAGATAATTTAATGGGTGCTTTTACTAA